ACTTTGGTCTACTTGAGAAGGTGAATATTTTAAAAATCTGTACTAACTAAGCCATGAGGGAGAAGTTCTCAAGATCATTTCTTCTACACAGTCCTGTCTAGGGAAGTTTCCTCTCTGTGTCCCGGCAGCTTCTGAGGGAATTCACACAAGCCAGAGCTCTCTCCAGTCATTGTGTTCCTCTCCAACACCTTTACTAAAAGCTGATAATTGCATGTGTAAAGACTGAATTGCTCCACATTCCATGCAGAATGAAAAAAAGGGAAGCCCCTTTTTTTAAAAAAAAAAAAAAAGATAACTGTTATAACCGAAGTAGTTTGCGGACCACAAGAAGAAAGAATCCAACTTTAGATTGTGCAGGGGAGCAGCTCCTACTTCGAGTACCTTGTCCTGTTCTGGGCATCCCACTTACAGGAAAGCATTTGGAGAAAAGCGGCAAGGATGATAACCATTAGAAGTCTAAAAGAGTTAAGTCTCTTCATAAAAAAAGAAATTAAAGTTAGGATTGCCAGTTCCGACGTGGGCTTTGGGCACTCGGTCCAGAAACGGTTAGCCATCGCTGGTTTAGGATATGAAAGGCATTAACTTTGCTCCTAAAAGTCTAAAATCCTAGGACGTAGGTTTGTCCCATGGCCTGGCTAACTACAGATGCCATAATGTAGTAGAAGAAAGTAAAGTTTTCTTTCTGTTGGCGTATTTGGCGATATTTGAAAGTAGCTAAATTGGTTTGATTAGATTAACAAGAGTTGGAAGGGATCTTGTAGATCATCTACTCCAACCTCCCACCCAAGCAGGAGACCCTTCACCATTTCTGGCAAATGGCACTCCGGTCTCTTCTTGAAAGCCTCCAGTGATGAAGCTCCCACAACTTCCAAAGGCAACTTCTGTTCCATCGGTTGATTGTTCTCACTGTCAGAAAATTCCTCCTCATTTCTAGGTTGCCTTAGGCGAGTTCAGATTAGTTGTCTGAACCTTGGAATTAAAACCCAGAAAATTACCAAAGAACGTCACTTCGAACCCTTTGAACGTGGAGTCTCTGCTGGAAGAATTTCTTGGTAGAGAATGTTGATGTCTCAAAAGTAGCTTAATAAAAGGTAAAGGTTCCCCTCGCACGTATGTGCTAGCCGTTCCCGACTCTAGGGGCCGGTGCTCATCTCTATTTCAAAGCCGAAGAGCCAGCACTGTCCAAAGACGTCTCCGTGGTCATGTGGCCGGCATGACTCAACACCAAAGGCGCACGGAACGCTGTTCCCTTCCCACCAAAGGTGGTCCCTATTTTTCTACTTGCATTTTTTACCTGCTTTCGAACTACTAGGTTGGAAGAAGCTGGGACGAGTCACGGGAGCTCACTCCGTTACGCGTCGGTAGGGATTCGAACTGCTGAATTGCCGACCTTTCGATCGACAAGCTCAGCGTCTTAGCCCCTGAGCCACCGCGTCCCAAATCAGCTTAATAGCAAAACCCAAATGATAAGCTTCCCCTTGTGATGGAAATATTTGTATCTCCTGCACACGGGCCTGTGTGCACGCACAAACACACATGCACAAACACAATGTTAAGATACTGCTTTCCTCACCAGGCCTTTCGTTGAAAATTCTCTCCGACTACCTAGTGTGTGTCTGCTGGGGTGGTATATATATCTGCAGCGACTTCTCCAGAAGGGCTTAGAGGGAGGGTCTCGCGAGTTTTTCTCAATTGCCGCTGGCCAGTGAGTTCCATCCAGCATTATTATTATGATTATTTTCAAAGTGGGTCAAGTTGTTTTGTTATTGCCGGCGTGGATTCCTGGTCCTTTTGCAAGTCCCGGTTACTATGGAAACCGCAGAAGACATTTGCCATGCCTGTTCCTGGTCTGGGTCCAAACCAAAAAAAAAAACTCGCTGGGACTGAGCAGAAACAGCCAAGGCTTGGGAAGTCTGGTGTGGAGAGTTGTCGAGAAGGACAACAAATTGTCACATGTCTCTAAATAGCACTAGCAATAGCACTTCGACTTATATACTGCTTCACAGTGTTTTTACAGTCCTCTCTAAGCGATTTAGAGAGTCAGCATTTTGCCCACAACAATCTGGGTCCTCATTTTACCGACCTCGGAGGGATGGAAGGCTGAGTCAACCTTGAGCCGGTCAGGATCGAACTGCCAGCAGTCGGCAGTTAGCCTGCAATACTGCATTCTAACCACTGCATCACCACAGCACTTACTTACTTACTTACTTACTTACTTACTTACTTACTTACTTACTTACTTACTTGAGCCCCATCAGGATCGAACTGCTGGCAGTTGGCAGAGTTGGCCTGCAATACTGCATTCTAATCACTGTGTCACCACGGCCCTTCCTTCCTTCCTTCCTTCCTTCCTTCCTTCCTTCCTTCCTTCCTTCCTTCCTTCCTTCCTCCCTCCCTCCCTCCCTCCCTCCCTCCCTCCCTTATTTACTTCCTTGAGCCCCATCAGGATCAAACTGCTGGCAGTCGGTAGAGTTAGCCTACAATACTGCATTCTAACCACTGTGTCACCACGACTCTTCCTTCCTTCCTTCCTTGAGCCCCATCAGGATCGAACTGCTGGCAGTTGGCAGAGTTGGCCTGCAATACTGCATTCTAATCACTGTGTCACCATGGCCCTTCCTTCCTTCCTTCCTTCCTTCCTTCCTTCCTTCCTTCCTTCCTCCCTCCCTCCCTTCCTCCCTCCCTCCCTCCCTCCCTCTCTTATTTACTTCCTTGAGCCCCATCAGGATGGAACTGCTGGCAGTGGGCAGAGTTAGCCTGCAATACTGCATTCTAACCACTGTGTCACCATGGCCCTTCCTTCCTTCCTTCCTTCCTTCCTCCCTCCCTCCCTCCTTTCCTTCCTATATATATATTGGCAGTGGTTTGCTCTCCAAGCTTGTTTCAATTTACTTTCTGAACATTTTATTACCAGACTAGGTAACATCATCAGGGCTTTCTTGTCCTATTCTCCTTAGCTTATAGATGTCTTGTGTGCCAATGTGGTCAGTTTGGCCATGTGATTGGTTGTTCTCTTGGAACTCTATTTAAATTCTGAGCAGCTGATTGGTTCTCTTGTTGATTGGTCATTCATATGGTCTGGTTTCTTACATATTCATATACTGGATCTAGATAATATATTAATATATGTGTGTACACACAGACACACACACACACACACACACAAATATCTGTAGCTCAGGTATAGGATGAGGTTGAAGGTTCGTTCTCCGAGATGTGGGTTGGTTTCTGAATATTTCATTACCAGGCTAACTTTTTCAACAGAGTACCCTTTCCCCTAAACTCCACTGACAATGTTACCTAGGCTGGTAACAAAATGCTCGGAAACCAACTCATAAATTCAGAGAAATATATATATTTTCATGGCCGATTTCCCCTTCCGCGCCATTTTTTTTTTGTAAGCACCAAATTTCCAAAATTAGGTTCAGGTCACGACCAAATCGGTTTGCGACCAAAGTTATGGAACGAATTATGGTCGTGACCAGAGGTCCTACACACTCTCTCTCTCTCTCTCTCTCTCTGTATATTCCCTCAACTGTATTCCCTCAAGGACTGTATGACTGTAACTTTGTTGCTTGTATCCTTATGATTTATATTGATATTGTTTCCTGATTGCTTATTTGTAACCTATGACTATCATTAAGTGTTGTACTTTATGATTCTTGACGAACGTATCTTTTTTTTATGTACACGGAGAGCGTATGCACCAAGACAAATTCAATCACACTTGGCCAATAAAGAATTCTATTCTATTCTATTCTATTCTATTCTACTATTCTATTCTATTCTATCTATTCTATTCTATTCTATTCTACTCTACTCTACTCTACTCTACTCTACTCTACTCTACTCTACTCTACTCTACTCTACTCCACTCCACTCCACTCCACTCCACTCCACTCCACTCCACTCCACTCCACTCCACTCCACTCCACTCTCTCTCTCTCTATATTCTGCATCGGGTACCACAAAGGCCTCCCCAGAAGGATAGCAAGGAAAACTGGTCCTTAAAGGGGAGCATCCCTCACAATATTGCAGACCCTGATCAAGCAGCACTTACATACCATGTCCTGGATCAAGGGTGTGTGTGTGTGTGTGTGTGTCAAACTGGATTTCTTTGAGGACCAGATCTGCATTGTAGTTCTCTTCCACTGGCTGGCCGGGGGTGGGGAGACAGGATGGATGCCTCCTGCAGTACTTTGCCACCCAAAACAGAGTGCGGGAGGGGATCCCCCATTTTGCCCAGCAGAATGCTGCAGGAGGCCATCCAGGCCCAAAATGGGGTGCAGGGGGTGCACACCGCTTCCTACACCCCGTTTTGGCCAGCAGTGCTGCAGGAGGCCATCCTGGCCGAAAATGGATCTGGCCAGAGGCACTGCGGGCCGGTCCTTTCCTATTTCCAGTCCAGCCCCGTGGGCCAGATTTAAGCACTCCGTAGGCTGAGTTTGACCCCCCCCCGTCCTGGATAGAAGGAAGTGAACTTCCAACAATCTTTTGTGCCGAAAGAAATATTGGGGAGATTCAGGATCCATAAGGTAAAGGTTCCCCTCGCACATATGTGCTAGTCGTTCCTGACTCTAGGGGGCGGTGCTCATCTCCGTTTCAAAGCCGAAGAGCCAGCGCTGTCCGAAGACGTCTCCGTGGTCATGTGCCCGGCATGACTCAACGCCAAAGGCGCACGGAATGCTGTTACCTTCCCATCAAAGGTGGTCCCTGTTTTTCTACTTGCATTTTTTACCTGCTTTCGAACTGCTAGGTTGGCAAAAGATGGGATGAGTAATGTGAGCTTACCCCCTTATGCGGCACTAGGGATTCGAACCGCTGAACTGCCGACCTTTCGATCGACAAGCTCAGCGTCTTAGCCACTGAGCTACCATGTCCCTTAGGGATCCATAGTCCCCGAGTTAAATGTCTTCACTCACTACCCAATGTGACCGGGCCGAGCATCGTTCCCGTGATGGGTTTTTCACTCGATGTTCTCTCTCTTCCTTCTCTTCCAGCACTGCCAGTAACTCGAACCGTAGTACGCCCGCTTGCTCCCCAGTCCTGCGCAAACGCTCCCGGTCTCCCACGCCACAGGACCCCCAAGGAGATACCATGGTGGAGAAGGGGTCGGATCATTCTTCTGACAAATCGCCTTCCACGCCAGAGCAAGGCGTGCAACGAAGCTGTTTCCTCCCAATCCGTCGTGGCGGGACCAAGAATTCAAAGGTGAGTTTACGTGTTCGTTGTTGAGGCTCTTTTATATTCTCGTTCACCCTCCCTTGTAGGCCTTTCTCATTCTGAGTTTGCCTCCTTTTCCCTGTCTCACTTTATCTTGATTTTGAGGTCTGATGGTCAGGTCTTGGCTAGTGTGATACGGTGGCCTAGAGGTGGAGCCCTCGCCTCAGAATCAGGAGGCTGTGAGTTCGATTCTAGGTAGAGAGAGGCAGATATTTCTCTCTCTGGACACACTGAGAAATATCTGCTGCTGAACAAAACTCTGCAATGGTGACAGGAAAGGCATCCGGCCATTAGAACACTCTGCTAGCTCCATTCAGTTGCCCAGACTCCACGCCGCAAGGATTCTATTCTATTCTATTCTATTCTATTCTAGTCTAGTCTAGTCTACTCCACTCCACTCCACTCCACTCCACTCCACTCCACTCCACTCTCTCTCTCTCTATATTCTGCATCGGGTACCACAAAGGCCTCTCCCAGAAGGATAGCAAGGAAAACTGGTCCTTAAAGGGGAGCATCCCTCACAATATTGCAGACCCTGATCAAGCAGCACTTACATACCATGTCCTGGATCAAGGGTGTGTGTGTGTGTGTGTGTGTGTGTGTGTGTGTGTGTCAAACTGGATTTCTTTGAGGACCAGATCTGCATTGTAGTTCTCTTCCACTGGCCGGCCGGGGGTGGGGAGACAGGATGGATGCCTCCTGCAGTACTTTGCCACCCAAAACAGAGTGCGGGAGGGGACCCCCCATTTTGCCCAGCAGAATGCTGTAGGAGGCCATCCAGGCCCAAAATGGGGTGCAGGGGGTGCACACCGGCCTCCTACACCCCGTTTTGGCCAGCAGTGCTGCAGGAGGCCATCCTGGCCGAAAATGGATCTGGCCAGAGGCACTGCGGGCCGGTCCTTTCCTATTTCCAGTCCAGCCCCGTGGGCCAGATTTAAGCACTCCGTAGGCTGAGTTTGACCCCCCCCCCGTCCTGGATAGAAGGAAGTGAACTTCCAACAATCTTTTGTGCCGAAAGAAATATTGGGGAGATTCAGGATCCATAAGGTAAAGGTTCCCCTCGCACATATGTGCTAGTCGTTCCTGACTCTAGGGGGCGGTGCTCATCTCCGTTTCAAAGCCGAAGAGCCAGCGCTGTCCGAAGACGTCTCCGTGGTCATGTGGCCGGCATGACTCAACGCCAAAGGCGCACGGAATGCTGTTACCTTCCCATCAAAGGTGGTCCCTGTTTTTCTACTTGCATTTTTTACCTGCTTTCGAACTGCTAGGTTGGCAAAAGATGGGATGAGTAATGTGAGCTTACCCCCTTATGCGGCACTAGGGATTCGAACCGCTGAACTGCCGACCTTTCGATCGACAAGCTCAGCGTCTTAGCCACTGAGCTACCATGTCCCTTAGGGATCCATAGTCCCCGAGTTAAATGTCTTCACTCACTACCCAATGTGACCGGCCGAGCATCGTTCCCGTGATGGGTTTTTCACTCGATGTTCTCTCTCTTCCTTCTCTTCCAGCACTGCCAGTAACTCGAACCGTAGTACGCCCGCTTGCTCCCCAGTCCTGCGCAAACGCTCCCGGTCTCCCACGCCACAGGACCCCCAAGGAGATACCATGGTGGAGAAGGGGTCGGATCATTCTTCTGACAAATCGCCTTCCACGCCAGAGCAAGGCGTGCAACGAAGCTGTTCCTCCCAATCCGGTCGTGGCGGGACCAAGAATTCAAAGGTGAGTTTACGTGTTCGTTGTTGAGGGCTCTTTTATATTCTCGTTCACCCTCCCTTGTAGGCCTTTCTCATTCTGAGTTTGCCTCCTTTTCCCTGTCTCACTTTATCTTGATTTTGAGGTCTGATGGTCAGGTCTTGGCTAGTGTGATACGGTGGCCTAGAGGTGGAGCCCTCGCCTCAGAATCAGGAGGCTGTGAGTTCGATTCTAGGTAGAGAGGCAGATATTTCTCTCTCTGGACACACTGAGAATATATCTGCTGAACAAAACTCTGCAATGGTGACAGGAAAGGCATCCGGCCATTAGAACACTCTGCTAGCTCCATTCAGTTGCCCAGACTCCACGCCGCAAGGGATTATGGAGTCGTTAAATGAATATGACGATGATGATGATCAGGTCTTGGCTGACTAACTGCTTTCCTATATGTAATTTGCCAGTCGTGGTACCGAACGCCAAATATCTGGCCTCAACTCCCACGTTACACACAGTGTAACATATTTGAGGATCTGCCACAGAGAGGAGGGGGTCAAGCTATTTCCCAAAGCACCTGAAGGTCAGACAAGGAATAATGGATAGAAATTGACCAAGGAGAGATTCAACCTAGAAATGAGGAAGAACTTTCTAACAGTGAGAACAATCAACCCATGGAACAGAAGTTGCCTTCGGAAGTTGTGGGAGCTTCATCACTTGAGACTTTCGAGAAAAGATTGGACTGCCATTTGTCAGAAATGGCGTAGGATCTCCTGTTTGAGCGGGGGGTTGGACTAGATGACCTATAAGGTCCCTTCCAACACTGTTAATCTGAAGGAACTGGGCCTGGCTAGTCTAGTGAAGAGAAGGACTAGGGGAGACATGATAGCAGTCTTCCAATATTTGAGGGTCTGCCACCACCTTTTTCAGTGTGTTGTGCTTATGTGACAGCGTTTTATGACGCTTTCGCTGAAAACCAGGGCTTCCCCAGCGTTTTGCAAAACCATGCCCATCGTGAACCATGGGTCCACTTAACGACTGCAGCATTCAATTAACGACCACTGCTGCCAAAAAAAAAAAAAAAAAAATCCTGCGGCCGACCCATTTTCCAACCGTCATGACACACAACCGTAATGGGCAGGCTCCATTACGGCCGTATGTCGAGGACTACCCGTATCTGCTGTGATGTTTCAAAATAGCTCGTTCCCCGTTTTAAATCCAAAGCTCCTTTTTCAGAATAGAAGCCGGAAGTAGCAGAAATAATGAGGCTCTATTGGGGTCAGTTATTGTTTTCTACGGAAGACGAATGAATAGGCAAGTACGTACTGGTATGCCTGCCCATAAATTAAGTGTAGGTGAAAAGCCATGTCTCACATTTCACATTTCAACGGAGCTGTTGAAACTTCCTCGTTCCTTCTTTTCATTCGTTTCCCCTGGATCTTTAGGCATTAGCCAATCAAGCTTTATAATATAAAGATGTGCCTATTGTGTGGCCTGTCGGCTGCCGGCCCCTCTAACAGGCGACTCGGAGGAGGAAGAGGAGCATGGAAGTCAGGGTTAGCATCAGGGCAACCTGAGAGCTCCCAGGGGGAAGAGGGAATGGAGCTGGCAGAGAGAGAGAGGGGGTGGGGAGGGAGAGAGACAGAGCCTGGGCCATCCATCAGCCCTCAGATGGAGAGTCAACAGCCCCCAGGTCTGGAGGTGGCTGATGAGGAAGAGGAGGAACAGCTGGGTCCAGTGCCTGTTGCGCGGATGCACAGAAGGCAGAGGAGAGGAGAGCAGTGAAAATCTATGGGCCGGTCCTTGGGATGGAAGAGCCACCTCTGCTAGCGAAGGCCCACCCTGGCTCTGGGGATAAAAGGCAGGGGGCGGAGATGAATAGGTGTGGCAGACAACTACTCATCTTCCATTCGGAAGGACTTGTTAGCTTGCGAGATAAAACTTTTTGCCGCAAAAGGAATCTTTTGCGTTCACGTCAGAAGGTTTGTCGTGTTTGGGAAGCTGGCTCAGAACACCTATCCTGAATTAAGCAAAAGGGGATACTTATTTATTTATTCATTCATTCATTCATTCATTCATTCATTCATTCATTCATTCATTCATTTTATTCATTTATTTATTCATTTATTGGTTCGATTTATATGCTGCCCTTTTCCGGAGACTCAGGGCGGCTTACAATGCGTTAAGCAACAGCCTTCATACTTTTGTATATACCTGCTTAGTAGGGCTTTCGGCCCCCCCAAGCGGTGTTCTTTTTTATACAAAGTCCGCTTATTGCCCCCACAAACCGGGTCCTCATTTTACCTACCTCGCAAGGATGGAAGGCTGAGTCAACCTTGAGCCTGGTGAGATTCGAACTTGCAGTAATTGCAGGCAGCTGGTGTTACTTAACAGCACTAAACAGTGCTTTAGTCTGCTGCGCCACCAAGGCTCTTAACAGCATTTCCCGATAAGGGAGGCAGAATTGCCCGTAAGGATTTCATTTGCAAAAGCAGAATGTTTCTCTGAGGACTGGACAGTGGCTACGACTCTTATCGTCAGCTCAGGAAGCAAAACAAAAGAATATCTTTTTTCCCCCATCGTCCTGGCTGTTGGGACTTGTAGGCTCAAAAGGAGAAGAAAAGCCCACTAAACCAGGGGTCCCGTCCACGGCATGCCAGCAATCGGGCCACGTAGACAGCATGCAAAACCACGCCCCCTCCGGTTCCACGGGAAAACCTCTCTCCACGGAACCGATCCCTGGTTCCTGAAAGGTTGGGGGCCACTGGACAAAACCACCACCCAAATTCCTTTCTCTTCCAATTAGAGATGGCTCAAAGTGGCAAAAAAAACACCGCCTCCCCACATTTCTTGGCTCTAAGACAGGGGTGTCCAACCTTGGCTACTTTAAGACTAGTGGACTTCAACTCCCAGAATTCCCCAGCTGGCTGCACCGGCTGGGGAATTGTGGGAATTGAAATCCACAGGTCTTTAAAAGTTTGCCAAAGTTGAGGCCTCTCTACTCTGAGACTTCGCGATGTCCTTCAGAGGGGAGAGAATTTCAGAACCATCCGATCAGATAAGGAGATGAACTTTTCACCCAAGGTCTTTCTATATTCTACAAGAGCTGAGGTGGTGCAGTGGTTAGAGTGAAGCACTGCAGGCTATTTGAGCTGACTGCTAGCTGCAGTTCAGCAGTTCGAATCTCACCAGGCTCAAGGTTTGACCAAGCCTTCCATCCTTCCGAGGTGGATAAAATGAGGACCCAGACTGTTGGGGGCAGATATGCTGACTCTGTAAACCACTTAGATAGCGCGGTAAGGCACTGTGAAGCGGTATATAAGTCTAAGTGCTATTACTAAGTGGGAAGGAGGGGAGGGAGGGAGGGAGGGAGGGAGGGAGGGAGGAAGAAAGGAAGGAAGGAAGGAAGGAAGGAAGGAAGGAAGGAAGGAAGGAAGGACCAACTGTGGTAGCACAGTGGTTAGAATGCAGTATTACAGGCTAACTCTGCAGACGGTTAGCAGTTCGATCCTGTTCAACTCAAGGTTGACTCATCCTTCCATCCTTCCGAGGTGGGTAAAATGAGGACCCAGATTGTTGGGGGCAAATATGCTGACTCTGTAAACCACTTAGATAGCGTGGTAAGGCACTGTGAAGCGGTATATAAGTCTAAGTGCTATTGCTAGGGGAAGGAGGGGAGGGAGGGAGGGAGGGAGGGAGGGAGGAAGGAAGGAAGGAAGGAAGGAAGGAAGGAAGGAAGGAAGGAAGGAAGGAAGGAAGGACCAACTGTGGTAGCACAGTGGTTAGGATGCAGTATTACTGGCTAACTCTGCAGACGGTTAGCAGTTCGATCTTGTTCAACTCAAGGTTGACTCAGCCTTCCATCCTTCCGAGGTGGCTAAAACGAGGACCCAGATTGTTGGGGGCAAATTTGCTGACTCTGTAAACTGTTTAGAGAGGGCTGTAAAAGCACCATGAAGCGGTATATAAGTCTAAGTGCTATTGCTACATTACTAGTAAAAAAAATTGCTGACTCTGCTTTGTTTGCTTCTCAGTTGTAAGTTTTCATTTAACTCTCTTCCTATTTCTTCCTCTGTCTTTTTTTTTTTCCTATTTCCTTTTTTTTTTTTTTTTTACTTTGCCACCAAGCGCCTATCTCAGGGATGGCGAACCTTTTAGACATCGCGTGCCCAAACTGCGTACGTGCACATGCCCAAACAGAAAGGTGTGTGCGTGAGTGTAAACGCATGCATTTGCTTGCACACTCACA